ACTGCAGGGGAGGCGGGTTCCAGGGGCCCGCCCCCGGGCTACTACTAACAATAATAATAACGAGGAGGACGGGGTCCTGCCTAGGTGCCAGGCCACGGGCTGAATAAACCCTTTACAACATTACTTTATTTAAGCCTTCTGAATCATCCTGTATTGCGGTGTCATCCCCACTTGGCAGATAAGTAAACTGAGTCAGGATTTGAACCCACTGCTCTCTGACCCCAGAGCCTGGCTGGGCTCCGAACCTTGTCCCTCTGCCTTGCTCTTCCTCCCAGAAGGTTCCCTCACCCAGGCAAGACTGCCTGCCTTGTCAGCCTCCCCCAGACCCTCAAGCCACACCCGAGGGAAGGGACTCTCTTCCCCTCCTCCCAGGGCGCAGCGGTGAGTGTGTCCAGCTGGCTGAGCGCTGGTCAGCAGGGTTAATGAGTGCTGGACTCAGGCTTCAAGCCAGGCTGCAAGGCCAGCCTTGCAGAACCCAGCCTGGGGCCTCTGAGGGCCCCTGTGCTCTGCACCAGAGTGTGGGGCGAAAATGCCTTTCCCTTCTGGCTAAACCTGCCCGTGCACATGCGTTTCCACATGGGCTCCGGGCTTGTGCATGCAGTGTGTGGTGTGATCAGTGTGTGGGCCCAGGTCTTCTTCCTGCCCAGACTCCCAGCCCCCCCTTCTGGGCCCCCCTTCCTGTGCTGGGGCTGGGGTGAGGGGGAGGCCTTCTTGGCGGGAGCCTTAGAGAGGAGGAGGGAAGGAAGGGGGGAGAGGAAATTGCAGACATAGCTGAAGGCGCTGCCTGAGGCCTGTGGGCCAGTGACCCCCCTCTGTCCAGGCTGGAGACCCCCCACTCCTAGCCTGAGACTGGGTTCACGCAGAGGGCAGATCTAGATGGGAAAGGACTAGCACGGGGCTCCCCCGGGGTGGGAGAGGCACTCCTGGGGATCTCTGTGGCTGAGTAGTCTGTTTTGTGAGCATGTGGCACTGTTTCTGCCTAAATCTGTGTATTCGTGTGTCTATTTTCATGTTGTATCTGCTTGAGTATTTTTTGGGGGGTGGGCATGTCTGTGTAGAAATCCATAGTCTCTAGCCAACAGATGCCAACTGAGCGCCCTGTTAGCATCTCCTAGCAATGGGAGGTCAGCGGTGAACAGACAGACACCAATCTTTGTCTCATGGAGCTGACACTAAGGTGGACAGACAGACAATGCGTGAAGGAGAGATGCAGGGGCTGCTGAGCTCAGAGAGGATGACGGAACAGGGCCATGTGATGGGAAACACCTGGGCAGCTCTCCAGGCGGGCATCTGAGGTGAGAGCTAGATCCTGTGGGGGCAGCCATGCAGGATCTGGGGTGGAGTGTGGGGCTGGTAGGAGGGAGAGGGCCCTGAAGGAGAACGTCTTAAGGTCCCTGGACCCTGTGGAGGAGCTAGATGTGCGTGTCATGGGGAGCCCTGGAGTTAGGAGAGTGTCATGGTTTGGTGACACCCTTTGGAGAGATCCCTGTAGGGGCTCAGCGTGGGATGGGCCACGCAGGCGAGAATGGAAGCAGAGCTGTGCGCAGGCTGGCAGCCCTACAGGCCAGCGGTGGCAGAGGGCTTGGGCCGGGATGGGCTGTGGAGGAGGTGAGACAGGATTCATTCAGGCAGCGTTTTGAAGGGAGTGTTAACAGGACTTCCTGCATGGGCTGTGGATGCCAAGGAAAGAGGAATATAGGACAGCTGGTGGTATTGGGCCCACACACGTGAGGAAAGTTTAGGTGGGAGCAGGTTTGGGGCAACCTGAGTTTCTTTTAATTTTTTTAAAATATATTTTATTGATTTTTTTACAGAGAGGAAGGGAGAGGGATAGAGAGTTAGAAACATCGATCAGCTGCCTCCTGCATGTCCCCCACTAGGGATGTGCCCGCAACCAAGGTACATGCTCTTGACCAGACTCGAACCTGGGACCCTTCGGTCCGCAGGCCGACGCTCTATCCACTGAGTCAAACCAGTCAGGGCCTGAGTTTCTTTTTAGATAGATTTGACATGTCCAGTAGATACCGGGTGAGACAGGCAGGTAGAGCCCTGAGTCTGGGCTGGAAATGTGTTTGAGAGCTTAACACCCAAGATGGACTGAACACTGTGGGAGGGGGTGAGAAGAGAAGGGGTCTGAAGCCTGAACCCTGGGAACTCCAGCCTTGAGGGGTCCCGGGGAGGAGGTGTCAGGCAGGAGAGACGAGTGTCGGGGGAGGAAGACCTGGCCAGGACCAGGACGCCATCAGCCATGTTACACTGGGCCGAGAGGCGAAGGCGAGGCCAGAATCTGAGCCCTGGCTGGGATATTGGTGGGCATCGTTGGTTGTACCACTGTGCTGACTGCCTACCATCATGAAGATCAATGTGTTTCGGCTGCGCTTGTGACCTACCCTGGGTGTTGGGGATGTGTGCCTTTGCGTGGCACATACGTGTGCCTGTCTCCATGTGTCTCTGTGCCTCTCTGTGTGTGGCAGCTGTGAGACTTCGGGTATGTTTGTGCTAAGCTCTTTCCGTGTATCCCTGTGCTATGCAGATCTCTGGGTGTCACTATCTACAGACAAAGCTGTGTCTGGGTTGGTGGTGGTGTTTGGTGTGGTCAGGTGTGACTCAGCCCCGGTGAGGCAGGTGGCCATGCTGGAGCAGAGTGGGGCTGAGATGGTGGCTGGTCCCTTCAGAGAGGGACACACGGCAGGGGGATGCATGTGGCCAAGCCAGGCCGGGGGAGTGTGACCGCCTTGCCCTGGAGGGTTGGAAGAAGCTGTGGGCTGCTCCTAGGGACCCAAAGTTTTTGGCCCGTGTGGCCATCTGCACAGTCCACGTGTCCTCCTGGCCACCTGCCTATCTGCTTTTCTGCCTGCCTCTCCCTGCCCGCCGGCCCGTCTGTAGGTCTGCCCAGCCACCTGTTTACCCGGTGCACCAACCGGGACCTCTCTGATCTCTCTGCATGTCTGTCACCTGCCTGCCTGGCTCGCATCCCCTCTATCTGCCTGCTGATTGTCCTGTCTTGAGGGATCCTGTTAGCCTATGACTGACCTGCTGCTGCCCACCTGCCCACTTGCTGGCTGCCTCTCTGCCTTCTTGTTGGTGTGAGAATAGAGATTTGTCACCTTGGGAGGCACAGAGAGTGAGCCTAAGATGAACCACGGGAAAGACAGGTCTTGGTGGGAGGTCAGGGGTTGAGAGGTGCAGAGTCTCTGGGTGAGGCCTCGGGGGCTGGCATATTCAGGGCCTAATGCCAAGCCGACAGCTCCCTTCCCCAGCAGCCAAGCTGGGGCTGGCCCAGCTGCTCTGTTCCTGACACTGGGGCCTCACGCCACTGGGGGTGGGGGCTGGTCAGAGGTTGCCTAGGTCTTGGATGGGGAGAGAAAGGGATTCATTCAAGGGCTCCTACGACCAGCCATCCTCTAACTGCCTTCCCAGCACCCAGGACCACTGCTGGGAGATGGGCAGCCTGAGAGTTTACAAAATGAAGAATAGTAATGGCTACTGAGGAACCTCTTGGCACCTGACACTCTGCTAACTGCTGCGCTGCCCACCCCTCACAACCTCCCAGGAACCAGGTAGTTTGTAGGGTGACTCCATTTTACAGTCGAGGAAAGTGGGGTTCAGAGAGGTGGAGTCATATATGTGTGGTCACATAAGAGGTGGGGCCTTAATTCGAACCTCAGAGCCCTGTTCCCAACCATCTTCGAGGTCACGGTTCTCCCCGTCAGCCCCAGCGCTGCCGTGTCACGATCCTTCGTGCTGCCCCTTTTACGCTCCTGAGTGAAATTTATGGCTAATATACCCACCTCCACATCTAATTTAAAATGCACACACATGTATGTCATAATATAAAAGAAATAAAGGGTAACAGTACGTATCTAAGAAGTGATCAATTGTGGGGAAGGCGACAGCTCTGAGCGCAGATTAGCTCCTATTGGGATACTGTGGTGGCGGCTGTGTCTGCAACGGTGACGAACTCGTGGTGAAATTCTGAACAACATAAAGTACAAACTCCTTCCACTCTGCACAGTAGTTGCATTCCTCGAGAATTCAGTGTACGTTATGTGCACACGAAGCCATTGTGTGTTTATGTGTAGATTCTTGGCTCTGGAGATTATAAACAGGTTTTCACCCATGTCGTGCAGGAGGTAGACTCTGCCTTCCTTGTAGGGTTGTCTGGTGTCCCTGGTCCCCACCCTCTTAATGCCAGCGGCACTCCCCCCCCATTGTGATGATCAGACCCCCAAATCCCCCAGCACCACATGGACATGCAGAGAAGATTCCTGCCTGTGGGAGCTCAACATTCGAGCAGGGGAGACATGCAATCACTAGTCAAACAGATGATAGAATGTTGGGCTGTGCTGAGCACAATGAAGAATAAAGGAGTGTAAAGGGCTACAGACCAGGTTGACGTGGCCAGGAAGGCTTCTCTGAGGAGTTGACATTTAAAAAAATTTTTTTTATTGATTTTTTTACAGAGAGGAAGGGAGAGGGTTAGAGAGTTAGAAACATCCATGAGAAACATCGATCAGCTGCCTCCTGCACACCCCCTACTGGGGATGTGCCCACAACCAAAGTACATGCCCTTGACCGGAATTGAACCTGGGACCCTTCAGTTCACAGGCCGACGCTCTATCCACTGAGCCAAACTGGTTAGGGCAGGAGCTGACATTTTGAGTGGAGGGAAGTGAGGGAGGGAGCCATGCCAATCTCGGGAAGGGCCCTCCAGAGAGAACAGCCAGTGAAAGGCCTTGTGGGAGTTGTGCTTGGCTTGGTCAGAAGCAGCAAGGCCCATGTGGCTGGGGCAGCGGGTGAGGCGTGAGGGGCTGAGAGGTTACGGGGAGGCCAGGTTAGAGCCTGGTGTTGTAGAGATTTCTAAGCCTCAGACAGGCCTCTGGATGTCCTCTGGGTGGCACGGGGCAGAGGCCATCAGAGGGGTGTGAGGAGAGGAGGGAAATAATCCGTTTAAAGCAGAGATTCTCAACCTGTGGGTCGCGACCCCTTTGGCGGTCGAACGACCCTTTCACAGGGGTCGCCTAAGACCATCCTGCCTATCAGATATTTACATGATGATTCATAACAGTAGCAACGTTACAGTTATGAAGTAGCAACGAAAATAATTTTATGGTTGGGTCACAACATGAGGAACTGTATTTAAAGGGCCAGAAGGTTGAGAACCACTGGTTTAAAGGCTCACTGACTGCTGGGTGGCTGGGCTGCCACACGGCACAGGGAGGACAGGAAGTGAGAGAAGGGGCTCAGCCCTCAGATGGGTGGTCACAGGGAGGCCATGGGGTGTGGGGGAGAGACCAGAGATCACAGCTGACTTGGCTGGGAGCCTGAACGACTCAGCTGTGGAGAACTGCCATCTCCTCACTTCCTTTCCCAGGGCAGCCGGCTGGCTTCTCTCTGAAACTGCTCCCCCTGAGGGCAGACCAGGCTGTGGCTACAACTGGCGAAGCTTCTCAGTTTGTTTAGGACAGTGGTCGGCAAACTGCAGCTCTCGAGCCACATGCGGCTCTTTGGCCCCTCAAGGGTGGCTCTTCCACAAAATACCGACTTCTGCGCATGGGCCATGAAGTTTCAATCGCACTGTACGTGCGCCCACACGTGGTATTTTGTGGAAGAGCCACACTCAAGGGGCCAAAGAGCCGCATGTGGCTGGCGAGCTGCAGTTTGCCGACCACTGGTTTAGGAGCATAGGATGCTGTTGACCACACAGTTCTGGCATGCGAGCTGCGTGCCCTTCTCGGTGCTGGGATACAAGAGTGAGCAAGACAAAAAAAAAAAAAAAAGTGAGCAAGACAGTCCCTGCCCATCCTAGCCAGTTTGGCTCAGTGGATAGAGCGTCAGCGTGTAGACTGCACGTCCCAGGTTCGATTCCAGCCAAGGGCACATGCCCGGGTTGTGGGCTCGATCCCCAGTAGGGGGCGTGCAGGAGGCAGCCGATCAATGATTCTCTCTCATTATTGATGTTTCTATCTCTCCCTTTTCCTTCCTCTCTGAAATCAATAAAGAAATACATTAAAAAAAAAAAAAAAGTCCCTGCCCACATGCAGCCTGTCTGGGTATTGCTGAAGGTAAGCCTGACGCGTGAGGAGATACCAGGCACAGAACGGCGGCTGATCAGGTGGGGACAGGAGGGAGGCTGAAATTGAGCCAAGGCCAGGGCTGCAGCTGGCAGTGCTGGGCTGGGGGGAGGTGCGGCCAGGGCAGCTCGGCAGGTAGGTGTGGGCCAGATTAAGTGGGCAAAGTTCCGTCCATGTGGGAGGGGACAGGAAGATGGGAGCCACGTGGATGCTGGGGTGGGTGTGGGCTGTGGGTGAAGGCGCGGATGAAGCCTGGGGGTCTGCTCTGAAGTATCTGCAGGGCCTTTTTTTCCGGCTGTGTGGACATTGACTGGGAAGGAGCTCCTCCTGCAAGGACCTCTGCTCCTGTTGTGACCTGGCCTGTGTGGGTCCTGGACACAAAGGTAAGGAGGGCCTGGGCCCAGTGGTGGCCTGGGGAGGGGCCAGACTATCTCTAGCTTCACGGTTCCAATGCTCAATCTGCAAAGTCTAAATTTAAGCAAAGGAAGGAAGGAAAGAAGAGAGGAAGGAAGCCCCTTGGCTTTTGAGGGGCGGGTGGGGGGGAGGAACAGGGGGGTTCAGGAAAGGGCCTGGCCTGGCCCTGATTACCCCAGCTGCCCTGGATGGCATGTGGGCACATGGTGGTCTCTGTCTGGCTAAGTCCTCCCCATCCCAGATGGGGTTTGGCAGGGAGAGGACCAGTGCTCTGCAAGCAGCGGCCACGCCTCCTTCCTGCACAGTCTGGGCTGAGCCAGGCCAAGCAGGAAGCGTCCCCCTGGACACTTTGTGGGAGGCTGGACCAGCCTGTCGGGAGAATGCTGGGCAGTTCTGGTCCTTCCCCCACTCAAGACAGTGATGGCCCGTGGCCAGCTGGCTGCCCAGGTGGCAGTCATGGTGGTGGGGGCGGGAGGGGGGTGCCTATCCAGTGCACCTGGTGGCAGAACCAAGAGCTGCAAGAATCCTGCCCCACTGCTGGGATGGAGGGAGACAGACGCAGGTGAGGAGGGCAAGAAGAGCAGACGGCACAGCCGCGGTGGCTCCAGATCAGGAAGTTTTATTGCTGACATGCAGGAAGAGTCCCCATGTAGTACAAAAATATGTCTTTATACAAATTTTTTTGTGACTTTTTCTGTTTTGTTTTCTTTACAATTGGACTTCTCTCAGCGTGTGACAGTCAGTGAGGGCAGACCCAACCTCCTCTTGTCTGCTTTGCTAGCAATGTCATCAGACACGTGGCTGACCTCTGTCTGATAGGGCTTCGTAGACCTGGAGGATATTGCTTTGAAGAGGAGGAGAAAGACCACACGTGGCCAGCAGCCCGGAGGGCCTGGCCGGCTGCTGGGCAAGGGCACAGCTGAGCCCCCACAGGAGGGAGTCACAGGGGCGGGAGCCCTGGGCCAGGCTGCATTTCTACTCCCTTAGGAGACTTCTTTTTGAAATAAATATAGAAAGAGGGCATCCCCGACCCCACAGCAGGACACCCTGGCTCTCAGCGACGGTTGAGCAAGCAGAGCTTGGTGCCCATGGGGAGTAAGTGCTAGGCTCAGGCGGGCCCCCTCAGACCCACTGAGGCAGAGGCACGAGATGCCCAAGTGCTGGGAGAGGGGTGTGGGGAGGAAGGGGCATGGGTGGCCCTGCTACTGCTGGCAAGAGGTGGCCCCATTTTTTCCAGATGGGGAAACTGAGGCACGAGGAGGTTTGGGAACTTGCCCAAGTCACTCACAGTGAGTCAGCTTTTGGGGAGAGGGCAGCTCACACTGGGAAACAAGGTCACACAGACCTTGGTCACCTTCCCATTGGGGAGCAAGGACAGGCAGGCAGGGCCCAAGGGCCAGGGCTGCCTGGAGGGGACACTTGGCCTTTCCAAGGGGGATGGTGGGGAGGCAAGGGAAGGTCTTTGCTTGGCACTGGGCAAGGGGCCAAGTCCAGTGAGGGAGCATGGGATGGGGGCATTCTGGTGAGAACAGCATTTCTGGCAAGACGGGCATCCACTTCAAAATCTCGGCTCAAAAGGGCAGCAGGGCTGTTCTCAAGCCAGACAGGGCCCCCAGTTCCCACAATTCTTTCCAAGAGCCCAGGCCGGAGTCTGCTGGGCGACACCATGTCTGTTACGAGGCAAGGGCAGGGGGGCGATGTCCCACCATTCTCTGAACAGAGGGTGTGGGGAGCGAGAGGGCATGCCAGCAGGGCACCTGTCCGCGGACAGCCCTGCGCACCCTCCTCAGCCCGCCCCAGGCACCTCTTTCACATCTATGTTGGCATTACCTCGGTACCGCTGAGGTGGAGAAGGAAACCAGGGTTAATGCGAGTGTGCAGCACCTCAGAGAAGCTACTGAGATGGGAGAAAGAGAACCAAGTCGAGAAAGGCCTCCCCATCACCAGAAGCGAGGAGGGACTGGTGGGCTGGAGGTGGAGAGGGGCCGACAAGAAGGGGCTTCTGAGCCTAGGGGTGAGGAGGGCCCATCTGCGAGCTGTGGACACCCTGCTGTCTAGCCAGGCTGGGGCAGGGAGTGACCATGGGCCGAGCCACCTGATGATGGGAGAGAAGTTGGTTTCAGTATAAAAATAAATATATTTGAATTCCACTTAAGATGAGGTGAAGGTTTTCCAAGCTTGGACTGAGGGGCCTGGGGTCTGAGGGGAGGGAGGAAAAGTGACCGTGGGAGGGGTCAGGGAGAGCGGTGGGGAGTGGGCATTCGTTTGGAGAGCCAGCAGCGAGCTGCACTTCCAGCTTATTGGACTGTGGGGAGCAGCTGCCGGGGGCCGGCGGCTGGGGGGCTCCCTCCTCCTCCCTCTCACTCAGTCCAGAGACAGCATGGTTAGAGAGACAGAGGTAGATTAAAACGTCATGATTAAAAGCAGATTAGTTATCTAGGCTTCTCAGATTAAAAAACCAAACAATCAAGCAATCATTCCAAAAGGTAGCTTTGTGGTACCTCTGCTGACCCCATGTGTGACCTGGGCTGTCCCTGGCGGCCCCGTGCCAGCCCGGAGAGAGTCCAGCACTCCAGGGCCCTGACCCGAAGCAGGGCATTCCTTGGCTGGGGGCCGGGAAGAGGCGTCGGGCGGTGGTGCCCGTCGGGTGGTGCCGGTGCCCCCGCCCGCGGCG